CTGTACCCTAGTTATGTATGTATAAATAAATAATCATTAAAAAAATGCTTTCCCTCTAAAAATTGCACTCACACACAAATATATAAAATCTCAAGTGGTTCAAGGACAACCCTGAATCCTTGCATAGTTCCCAAGGGAGTCCAAGGGTCTCAGGCTATGTGTTTCTGAGTCCTAGGGCAAGGTAGGGTCAATTAGTCAGCTTCAGGGTGGTGAACACAGGGACTTTGGGAGAGTTAAAAGAGGCTTTTGGATCCTCCCTGGTGGCACAACAGGTTAAAGCACAGCACTATGAAGCTATCCACAGCTAATGCAGCATGAGTTTGATCCCCCACAAGGGGGGGTGACCCACATGCACAGCAGACTTCTCCTGACCTGCCCACTGCTCCCCTCAGCAGTGTATTTCAGTACATCTGCCTGTTCTGCTCTCAACTCTGTCCCTGCTGAATTCTCTCATCTCCCCCTGCTCCTCTGACCTGTACCCCAGTTCTTATGCATAAATAAATAAATCTTAAAAAAAAAAAGAGGCTTCTGAGATAAATTCCAAGAGGTGCTAACCAAACATAACCCAGAGATGAGGTCTGAAATTCAGGAGGGTTAGTGGGAGCAGTAAATTTTAAGGTTAAGGCTAATGAGGTCAGTAAATTTTAAGAAACCTTGGGCAGGGGAAGTGATCTCTAAGCTAAGAGCTGGGAAAATGTGCACAGCTACACAGAGAAGTACAGCCTCTAGGAGAAAAAGCCAATCACAGAACAGGAAAATGAGATTTTAGTATAAAGAGAACAGGTTTCATTAGACCCTAGACACAGGCCTGTTCCGTTTCTTTACCCCTCTCAGGTACACATACCTGGCAGTTCTTGCTTTTGTTCTTTCCTCTAAATAATTTCGTGGAACAAAGTAGGCTTCTCTCTGAGAAGCCTTATCTGAAGAAGTCCGTGGATTCCGTTTTATGACTTTGTGGGACAAGAACCTGTGGTGGTTCAAGGGCAAAACCAGTAGCACCCATGGGCTTCCTTACTACTTCCACTGTTCCCACACAAGCCGCCCCCATTTCTTCTCTATTGTTTTCATTCACAGTAGGCACTAACTCATCTCCCAATTTCTCTACACAGCAGCCATGGGATAAGCCATGGTGTTTAAACCTAAGACAGATGTTACTTCTCTGCTTAGTGCAATCCATTAACTTCCCTTTTCACCTCCAAGAAAAGCCAGCATCTTTATAAGGGCTTATAAAGAATCCTCAGGACCTGTTTCCAAAGACCCTGCTGACCTCATCTCCATCTCTTCCCAACCTTAACTTCTGTGGCTCTACTCAGTCACACCATTCTCCTTGCTGACTCCCAACACAATAGACAACCCTTCATCAACCCTTCATCTCCACGTGGCTTTCTCCTTCACTCTTTTTACTCATTTGTCACTTTATCCCTGAGGACTTCCTGACCATTGCATTTAAAACCAAGCCAGAATCACCACCCTGACCCTTCCTGGAACCTCCTATCCTCCTCTTCCGCCTTGTTTTCTCCATAACACTTATCATCATCTTACATACTGTGCATTTTTACATACTAGCTTATTCTCTTGTTCCCATGCTAATGTGTTAGTTCCATCAGAACAGAATTGGTTGGTTGTTTTTTTTTTTTTCCCACAGATATCTTTAGTTATCGAAATAGTGCCTGACACAGAGTAGACACTTAAATACTTGACTGATGATTGACTGAATGATTTAACTCTGCAGTGATATGAATATACTCAATTTGGGGGAATGGAGGGATGTACATTTATGGAAATACTTCTAAGTGCCAAGTAGCTTGCAAGTTTAATCAGACATCTCACTTAGTTAGCGCACAATCCTAAGAGGTATTTTTATCTTCGTGAAAACAGAAGCCCAGAAAACAGATAAGATTTACAGTCAGTGGTGAACATAACTCAAACATAAGTCTGTGTGATTCCCAAGACCTGCTATTCCCAACTCACATTTCTTCATTCTGCTTGGTAGCAGTTCCACTTCTGTGAGGAAATGCAAATGCCAAACTTCACCAATTTCACAGTAGGAGTCTCAGTCAAAGAGATCATAAGGTGTTCTGGGAGCTCCAATTAAGCAAAACAAACATTAAAAGCCTAAATCTTTTTGCTAATTTATATCAAACATTGTCAAAGAACTGCAATAAATACCCTTCGGAGGGGGCTTATCATTTTCAGAGTTACATGCATTCTATTCACTCATGACTTTCAATCATTTCTCATTAATATTAGGTGATGCCTACGACGATGTGATGGAACTGTTCTAGGCATTGAAGATAAAAAATGCTTATAGCACAGATGCCACCTGCCACAGACAGGTTTGAAGTCTTGTGCAGTGTGCCTTGTAGAAATACAATGTAAGTCAGACATGCAGTTTTATATAATCTAGCCCACCACATTTTCTTTTTTTTTTTTAAAGATTTATTTATTTATGCATACAGGCCAGAGATGCAGGGGCAGTGAGAGGATTCACCAGAGACAGGGTGGGGAGCAGAACAGGCAGATTGACAAGTACACTGCCAGGGGAGCTGTGGGCGGGTCAGGAGAGGTCTGCCGCGCCATGCGGTTGCCTCCTGAGGTGGGATCGAACTCATGCTTAAGTGACTTTAGCTTCTTTAACCTTTAGCTGTGTGCTGTGCTTTAACATGCTGCACCACCAGGGAGGGCCGCATTTTCAAAAAAATGAAAACAAGCATTTGAGATTAATTTTAACAATATATCTTTATTTAATTCCACAAACTTGAAATGTTACTTTAACATATAATCAATATAAATACACTACCAAATGAAATACTTGACAATTATTTTGATTACACATTTTTATTTTTATTTATGCATATTAAAACTGGGATGTAGGCCAGAGGTGCAGGGGTAAAAGGATTCACCAGAGACAGAGTGGGGAGCAGAACAGGCAGATCTACTGAAATACACTGCTGAGGGGTGCATTGGGGTTAGGAGACAGGAGAGGTCTGCTGCACCATGTAGGTCAGCTCCCTCGCTGAGGATCTAACTCTCCTTGCAGGGGCTGGGGCTAGCTTGATAAGCCCTGAGACTTTAACCCCTGCAGGGGTAACCAGGGTGGCCATGGTTACACATCTTTAAAAGGTGTGTATTTTATACTTGTATGTCAGTTTGGACTAGGCACATTTCAAGTGCTCCGTAGCTTATGTGCTAGTGGTGGTGACAGCACAGATTAGGGAACAGGAGAAATAGTCAAGGGAATTTTCAAAATGATGTGTAAATGCAGTTACAGAGATGTGTTCAGGATCATTCAACTGCCAGTAACATTCAGGGGCCTTCCATTCCCACAGACCATGTTCATCCTGTGAGACATTACACTTTGCTCTACTTCAAGCAGTGGGATTGTGATTGACTTCAGCCAACTAAACCCAATATATCCCAAACAATTCATCTCTTACCCCAAATACCTCCTCTCCACTTCTCATTTTCTATTTCAGTTGATGACACTATATGAATCACTTGAGTCATTCTCATCTCATTTCTATGTAAATAAGCACTTTATCTAGAAAAGAATTTAAAATCTAAATGCCTGCTAAATATGCACCCTCTACCCCCAACGAATTTAGCTTGTTCAGGACACTTTCACCTCTTACATGAGTAATTTACAAAAAAAAACCTTAGTGCGTTCCCTTGCCTCAATCTCTCCTACCCTGCTTCAAATAGCAATTACTATTCCAGAAGATGCTTCAAAGCTACCCATTCTCTACTTAAGAAAGGCAAAGCTATTTTCCATAAAGTACGAAATTCCTTCCAGAATCTGATCTTTGCTTATTGCTTCTGTAACATGGTGGTCCCTAGGAAAAGGGGAAGTTCCAGGTTCCCTGCCCCACCCAGAAGGAGGGTGGAGCTGAGCAGAGAAAAAAGAGGAAAGAGAAGAAGAGAAAGAAGTTGGGTGGAGAACAGGAAAGAGACCCGAGGAGGCCACATGGAGCAGCAAGCATGTGAAGAAGAAGCCGTGCTTGTTTCCTAAACCCGGACTGGTTAAGGCAGATGTGGGTGAGATACCTGTAGGGAGGTGACTATGGCAGTGTTTATATTGATTTTGATTTTGCTCTTGTCCTCCCAGACCCTTTTCCATGGGTCCCGGCCAGAAGGTGCTTTAGTCTTTGTGGCAGGCTTTCAGGCCTTGCTTTGGGCCAATCCCTTTTGGGTTGACTTTTGCCCACGAGGGGATGGGTAACTTCAGGTGTTTAATTTAGAAGTTATATTCTTTGTGCTCCGTATTGTATATTTACTGTATTAAAGTCCCTTTTCATTAAAGCTTTATATATTTTGTCTTGACGGCGGATGAACCCACTTAGAGCAGGCAGGTTTGGGGCTTGAGGGGTGTCCCTGTCTCCCTGTCCTGGAACAGATTTGGTGTCCTGGAACATATTTGGCGTCCGCCTGTAACAGTTCTAACAATGCCCCAATTTTCTGATGTTCCTAGGCCCCGAATAAGTTGAAATACCGTCTCTGAACCTGCTACTCTTTTGTAAAAAGTTATCCTAACAGTTCAAAAAGCTGACTTGATTTTACACGACCCATGAAACAAAATCCTCTCCCCATAACTTCTTTACCTATCCAATTCAATATTTACTATTTACTGCCTGCTAAGCACAGTGCAAACAAGACAGAGGGAATGCAGGAAAAAAATGGGTGAATGACCCGATTTTTGCTTTCTGCGCCTACATCCATAGGAACCGGCTAATGATTATTAACACTGAGAAAATCTCGGGGAAGGGGTGTCCTTGGAAATTCTGGCGCGGTTGCAAGCGGGGGCACCAACACGTCTTTATATCTCTGCTTTCCGGGGTAGGGTCGAGACAGCAGAGAGAACGCCAAACCCTCTTTGCAACCAGGAGCCTAGGGGCTCCCAAGCCTGAATTCTACCCAGAGCCACGTGGCAGGCGGTGGTGCTGGGAGGGGACCGTGGGAGGCGGGGACAGCTCGAGCAGCGAGGACCTGGACCTTTGCGCTTGCGCGCCGCCTCCAGCTCAGAGACCCGGCTTTAAAGAGACAGGCGCTACAACCGTCGTGGGCTGCCGGTGGCCTTTGGGCGCCGGGTCCCGGGGCCTGTGGAGTGTAACGGAACCCGGAAGGCAGGTGAGAGGCGGCACAGGCGGGAAGAGCAGTGGGGAGGGAGGCGGCTCGCGGTCCGGGGATCGGCGCGGCCCTCGATCCGG